TGCATGAAATGTTTCCTTGGTATCTCTAATTTTCTTGAAGAGATCTCTAGTCTTTCCCATTCTATTGTTTTCCTGTTTCTTTGCATTGATCACTGAGGAAGGCTTTCTTATCTCTTCTTGCTATTCTTTGGAACTCTGCATTCAAATGGGTATATTTTTCCTTTTCTCCTTTGCCTTTTGCTTCTCTTCTTTTCGCAGCTATTTGTAAGGCCTCCTCAGATAACCACTTTGGCTTTTTGTATTTCTTTTCTTGGTGACGGTCTTGATCCCTGCCTCCTATATAATGTCATGAACCTCCGTCCATAGATCCTCAGGCATTCTATCAGATCTAATCCCTTGAATCTATTTCTCACTTACACTGTATAATCATATGGGGTTTGATTTAGGTCATACCTGAATGGTCTAGTGGTTTTCCTTATTTTCTTTAATTTAAATCTGAATTTGGCAATAGGGAGTTCATGACCTGAGCCACAGTCAGGTCAGTATTGTTTTTGCTGGCTGTATAGAGTTTCTCCATCTTTGGCTGCAAAGACTATAATCAATCTGATTTTGGTATTGACCATTTGGTGATGTCCATGTGTAGAGTCTTGTGTTGTTGGAAGAGGTGTTTGCTATGACCAGTGTGTTCTCTTGGCAAAACTCTATTAGCCTTTGCCTTGCTTCATTCTGTACTCCAAAGCCAAATTTGCCTGTTACTCCAGGTATTTCTTGACTTCCTACTTTTGCATTCTAGTCCCCTATAATGAAAAGGATATCTTTTTTGGGTGTTAGTTCTAGAAGGTCTTGTAGGTCTTTATAGAACCGTTCAGCTTCATCAGCTTTACTGGTCAGGGCATAGACTTGGATTACTGTGATATTGAATGGTTTGCCTTGGAAATGAACAGAGATCATTCTGTTGTTATTTGTGTTCTTTTCAATGACAGCCATTCTGACAGGTGTGGGTAATATCATGGTTTTGACTTGCATTTCCCTGATGATCACCAAACGTGAGCATCTTTCCATGTGTCTGTTGGCTATCTGCATTTTTTCTTTAGAAAAATGTCTATTCAGTTCTTCTTGCCTTTTTAAAATCATGTTGCTTGTTTCTGATGCTAAATTGTGTGAGCTGTTTATGTATGTTGGATATTAACTCCTTATCAGTCATGTTATTTACAAATACTTTCTCCCATTCAGTAGATTGTCTTTTTGTCTGGTCGATAGTTCCCTTTGCTGTGCAAAATCTGTTAAGTTTAATTAAGTCTGACTTGTTTATTTTTGCCTTTATTTCCTTTTCTTTAGGAGACTGACTGCCCCCCCCCCAAAATCACTATGATTTATGCCAAATAGATTTCTTCTTATGTTTTCCTCTAGGATTTTTATGATTTCTGGTCTTATATTTAGGTCTTTAACCCATTTTGAGTTTATTTTTTTATGTGGTGTGAGAAAACTTTATAAACACATTCTATTTACCCATAGCTGTCCATTTTCCTAGCACCACTTATTGAAGAGACCTGTCTTTTCTCCACTGTATATTCTTGCCTCTATTGTTATAAACTGATCATAATTGTGCGGGTTTATGTCTTCACTTTCTATCCAGTTCTGTTGATCCATGTGTCTGTTTTGTGGCAATACCATATTGCTTTGATGACTGTAGCTTCATAGTATAGTCTAATGTCAGGACACATGATTCCTCCAGATCCATTCTTCTTTCTCAAGATTATTTTGGCTATTCAGGATCTTCATGTTTCAGTACAAATTTTTAAATTATTCTAGTTCTGTGAAAAGTAACAGTTGGTATTTTGATCCAATGTCTTCTTTACTGGGGGAAGAGCTGCCCATCTTCCACCCCTCCCAGGGCTCTGGAGGTCTAGGTGCCCAGAACTTTTGGTGCAAGCCCTTGGTCTTAGCTGATCCCTGCAGTATGTGTCCAGAGTGGGTCCAGGAGTGGTATCTGAGCCATGTCAGGATCAGGGACCCTTGTGCACTGAGATCAGGAGTAAGGGGCTCACAGTCAGGCTCCCATTGCACCTGTGGACTCTTTCTGAAGTCCTGCCACCCAGGGCTGTCCTCATCCCCAGAGAAGCTCCCTTCTCTTCCTCTCCTTCACATAACATCTTACATCTTCTTCAGTGTGATACTCCAACTATGGGCTCCCAGCAGACAAGGCCCCCACCCAGGCCCTCCCCACACCCCTGTGCCAAGCACTCAGGAGGCAGTTATTGATCAATGATCATCTGGTGACCGCCTCCTTCCCCAATAGCTAACAACACCTACCCCTTGCCTTTGTCACCAGGTGGGAAGAAACTGACCATAACAGAATTTTCACAGCAGCTCTCTACTCACAGATTAAAGGGGCTTCCTTCAGCTCAGATTCTCATGATCATCCCAGAAGGATACACAGGGGGCCCACACACATCTCTCTACCCAGTTGCACTTCACTTTTGAACACTTTTTCTTCTGTATGTTATTTTGAGGAGGCTTATCCTAAATAGGGCTTCCCAGGTGGCACTAGTGGTAAATAACCCACCTGTCAATGCAGGAGACATAAGAGACGCAGGCTCAATCCCGGGGTTGGGCAGATCCCCTGGAGGAGGGCATGGCAACCCACTCCAGTATTTTTGCCTGAAGAATTCCATGGACGAGGAACCTGGTGGGCTAAAGTCCATGATTGCAAAGAGTCAGGCACGATGGAAGCAACTAAGCATGCACCCACATCCTAAATATGGGGAAGGCAATGGCCACCCACTCCAGTACTCTTGCCTGGAAAATCCCATGGACAGAGGAGCCTGGGAGGCTGCAGTCCATGGGGTCGCTAAGGGTCGGACACAACTGAGAGATTTCACTTTCACTTTTCACTTTCATGCATTTGAGAAGAAAATGGCAACCCACTCCAGTGTTCTTGCCTGGAGAATCCCAGGGAAGGGGGAGCTTGGTGGGCTGCCGTCTATGGGGATGCACAGAGTCAGACACGACTAAAGCAACTTAGCAGCAGCAGCACATCCTAAATAAGTCCCAGGTGGCCCAGTGGCCCACACTGGATCACCAGTGCAGTGATCTGAAGCCCGACTTCTGATTCACCACAATGCAAAGGCTGAAGGTGCAGGCACAGTGTTCAGATTCCTGAATCCTGCCTCAGTCTGGCTCTAGTTGTGCTCACGTCTGTGGGACACAAAGAAATGAGCCAAATCACTGGGATTAAGCAAAGTCCTGGCAGCTGAGTGTGGCATTTAGCTCCACCCTGACATTGGGGACAGAGGTGGGCTCGATACTCATGGGTAGAGATGATCCCACACAAACCTGGTGAAGCAGACAAATGGGTAGTACCCAGGAGGCTTCATGTAAGAAGGATGTGGAGAAGGCAGTTTCCTTTTGCCCAAATCATCCAACCTGTCTTTCTGCATCGAGTCTGATTGCAGATACACATTCCAGGATCTGCCTGGAACGAAAGGAACCAGGTGTCTGTGGACCACAGCCACTGGTTGAACACAGCTCAGCTACAGTGGCCACCAGAGAGGACCAAAACACAGCCCGGGACCCAGGTGACCCCAGGCAGGAGGAAGAGATTGCATGAGAGGCACAGATGGGCTGAGGCTGTCTTGTGGGCATCGGGGGTAGCTTCCTAGAGGAGGAGGCTCTCCAGATTGAAGAAGGCAGGAATTGGGTGGGGATAGAATGAGCAGAGGGTGAGCCTGGTGGAGGAGCAGGGACCCCGAAGTGTCCGGCAAGTGCAGGGAGATTAATGATGAGGGCCACTGTCTGTTGGCACTTTCTGTGTGACAGAGCCCGTGTGAAGTGGCTTTGGGCTGTGCTCCATTCCACCTCACAGCAAACCCTGAGGGGAGCCCCACTTGTGGGTCAGAGAGAGGAAAGGAGGAAAGGAAAGAGGAAAGGAGTCACAATGTCCCTCCACATCATGGCTCCAGGACAGCCGGTGGCACTGGGTCACTGTGAAATCCTCTCTGGGCCACTTGTCCCCACGCTGTGGGGACTGGCATCACCAGCAGCGCTCTTCACATGAGGGAGGCCAAGGCTCTGAGTCCCCGCTGTTCCGGGGGTGAGGCTGGCCAGAGCAGTTCCAAATGCCCGCTAAGAAGCGCGAGCGTGTGCCCAGGGCACGCCGGGATAAGGCGCCTTCGTTAGTTGCACTTCACGGAGGACACTGAGGCCTGGAGAGGCTCAGCGTCTTGCCTGGCTCACACGGCTGGCAAGCCGCAGAGCCGGAAAGGGACCCGGAAGGCCGACCCGGCGTCTACACCGGGGAGAGAGACGAAGAGCAAGAGCGCTCCTCGACTTGGGTATTCTCCCCGGGCATCGCGTGGGCGTGGCCTGACGGAGAAGGGGCGGGGAGAAGCCCTCGGGGGCGCGGGTGGGGCGGGGCGGGGTGGAGCCGGCGGTCTTGATTGGGCGCAGCTTTGAGCTTGTCACCTGACTGCCCAGGCCGGCCGCCCCGATTGGCCCCGCCCCCAGAGGCCCCGCCCCTCCCGACCAGGGTTAACCCGCAAGGCCCAATGCTGGTCACCCTGGAGGCCTGGGGCGGGAAGGCTGTACCCCGACGTCCCTGCCCCGGTGTGCAGGAGCCTCTCTGTGCAGCGCTCAGGCCAAGGGTCAGCTAGAGGCAGTGGAAGCCCTTGGAGCCCCCACTCGCAGGAACTGTAGGTTGCCTGTTCTTTTTCTTCTTTGCTTCTTACTGAGGTGCAGCTTGCAATCCCGCCATCGTAAGCGCAGAGTTCAGCGGGGTTTACCCCGAGCTGTGCAGCCACCAGCACAATCTAATTTAGGGCATTTCCATCCGTCTACGCAAACCCACTCCTTCGCCTCATCTGCCGGCTCTGCCCGCGCTGCGCAGCGGGACCGGGCCGCCTGGGGGCGCGGCGACCCAGCGCTCAGCTGCGCCTGCGCCTGCGCCGCGCGAGAGCCCGAGAGCGAGCCCGTCGAGCGCGCGCCCACGCCGCGAGTGCGCCTGCGCGGAGCTCGTGGCCGCGCCGGCTCCCGCCCGGGGCTCCTCGCTGGGCGGCGGGGCCATGGGGGAGGCCGAGGTGGGTGGTGGCGGTGCGGCTGGCGACAAGGGGCCGGGGGAGGCTGCCACCAGCCCGGCCGAGGAGACGGTGGTGTGGAGCCCCGAGGTGGAGGTGTGCCTCTTCCACGCCATGCTGGGCCACAAGCCCGTCGGTGAGCAAAGCGCCGCGCCGGGGCGGCCCACCCGCGTGGGGGCGGGGCGGCCGGCAACGGTCGGGGACGCGCGCTGGGCGCGCGGGGCGGGGCCTCCTGCGCCTGTACCCCCGCTGACCCTGCCCCCACCTGCGCACCCTACCCATGCTTCCTCCAGCAGTCCCCCACTCCTGCCCACGCTGCCCCCTTCTATACCCTACCCCCACCCGACTACCCCCTTCCTGTGCCCAGCCACTCATCCCGGCTGACTTGAGCCCTCACGTGCACCCCCACCACTGTCCCCTCGTTACACCTCCTCTGCAGACCCCTGCTTTTTCCTCTCCCACCTCTCCCCCCCGCACCTCCTACCTCCTGCACCCTCCACCTTTGCCTCCCTACACCCTTGCAATCACTGCCCGCTCTCTCCCCCTTCCCCCCTACCTCTCTTCTCCACCCTACCAGCTGGCCTACCCCTCCCCCACAAGCCGACCCCTTTCTTCTGCAGGTGTGAATCGGCACTTCCACATGATCTGCATCCGAGACAAGTTCAGCCAAAACATCGGTCGGCAGGTCCCATCCAAGGTCATCTGGGACCACCTGAGCACCATGTATGACATGCAAGCACTGGTGAGCTGGACCCCGGCCGCCAGAGCCGCTGGCAGGGAGCCCCCTCCACACTGCCTCCCCCCGCCCCCACCAGGTCCTGGCCTCAGGGACCTTGACATCCAGGATGTCCCACAGGTGACCAATTGTTAAACAAGATAGCTTTGGGTAGTTTTATGAAAACACAAGCCTGATGACAGTAGCTAGTTATTGCACTGAACCTACCTTAGATTTGGGGGGGGAGACGAGGTCCAGTTAAGATCTTTCCAGGAGATAACTAGGGAGCTGAGGCCTGTGTGGGAGGGGGCTTTTAGGTTGTCAGTCCTGTGGAAAACTGCCAAGTGCTATAGGTAGGGAGGTGACTGGGTCTGAGTCACATTGAGATAAATATTGTGGCTTCTGTGAGAACCAGGGTGACCAGAAGGCCACCCTCAGGGAACCCCCAGATGCCAGGCCTGAGGGAGAGCAGGTCAACTTGGTAACCAGGACAGCAGAAAAGACAGGTGGGTGTTCCCTGCAGAGGAACAGCAGGAGTCAGGGCCCTGTGGCAGCAGGCGTCAGGACTCGGGGCTGCACTGCCATCACACCCTCCTCCCACTGAGACCCCGTGCTTGTCATGAGGCGGAGAGTGACGCTCAGACCTGCTTGTGTCCTTAACCCTCACCACCGCAAGTTCCCTCTTGGCCTTGGGCAAGTCGTTTGCACCTCCTTGTCGCAAGGCAGAGACAGGAGAGAAATGACAGCACTGCGCTGACCCCCAGCCCGCACTTAGCACCTGGAAACTTGCGGTCAAGCTGCTGAACTGAAGCAGGCCCCCCAAAGGGCTGTGCCCACCAGTTGGGGCCCCACTCCCCCAGAATTCCCGGGTCCCGTGAGGACCCCCATGCTTGTCATGTTGGGGTGTCACCCGGCCCCCAGACACTTCCTGCATCTCCACTCCAGGCTGGGGCCCAGAGCTGGACACAGAGAGAAGTACGGCAGGGCCTGTGTCCTGGGGGGCCTTTGGTGCGGTAGACAGGACAGATGGCTCTCAAGTGCAGATGCTGGCTCAGAGGGTGCTGAGGCCATGATGCCCAGCACAGGGTCCCCGTGATACTCAGCTGTGGGGGCTTCCAAGGGGGCTCTCAGGCCAGGACAGGTGGCCCTTCCTTCCTCAGTTCCTTGGACCCCAGTACCGCTATGGAGCTGATGCCATGGTCACCTGGGACCTTGTAAAGACGGGTCTGTGGGTCCCACCCCACGGGATGACCATGGGCCCAGGAGCTCTCAGGGTTTGTGAAGCTCCTGGCTGGCAGTTGGCACACTTACTCACTGACCACCTGGCTTGTCAGCTCAGCTCCCAAGTTGGGGACTAGAAGCCCTGTCTTCCTGAATCCCCTCCCAACCCAGAGACCCTTCCCGCCAGCTCACCTTTCCCTTTGTGTGGCAGTACTGTTTCTGGCTCTCTGTCCCTCCGGGCCTATGTGATCTGGGGAACAAGTGGAGCCTGATGAGCGTTCCTGGTGCCTCCTCCATTTTGCTTTGTTTGCCTGGTTTCCACGAGAGAGAACAAAGGCCTCAGGCCACGCGCCTGCCCACTGCAGCCCCCCAGGACAGTCATCTGTGCTCGTTGGTCACTCCTGAGTTGGCTCTTACATCTCTAGTCACCTTTTCTTTAAAATGTGATATTTAAAATCATATTTTCTTCTTTGCTTCTTAAAAAAAAAAAACAAAAAAACACCTTATTTGTCATTAGCACGAGTCTGAGATTCTTCCGTTCCCAAATCCAGAGAGGAATTTCGTCCTTCCAGAAGAAATCATTCAAGAAGTCCGAGAAGGTATGGCTCGGGCAAAGGCAGATTTGGGAATGGAAAAAGGTGGCAGTGTCAGGGTGAAGGTCACGAGCCTCAGAGAGTGAGGGTTACTGGCTGGGTGGTATTCACCCTCCAGGATGGGGTGGTCTGGGGGCCTCCAGGACAGGGGAAGACACCTCCCAAGTCAGGAGCAGCCCCTGGCCTGAGCCACCGTGGTCAGGCAGGGCCACGGCGCTCACCACTGCAGGCTCCAGGTCATCATCGGCCATCTCCCCACAGGAAAAGTGATCATCGAGGAGGAAATGAAAGAGGAAATGAAGGAAGATGTGGACCCCCACAACGGGGCTGATGATGGTAAGTGTGGAGCTTGCCCTCCCACCCTAGGGCCCCAGGGGCATGGACCCCAGCCCGGCAAGGCCTCCCCATCACGGGCAATGGAGTCATTCATCTGTCTCAGCAGCTAAGGCAGCTTCATCTGCTCAGGGAAAGCCTCCTACACAGGGGAGTCACTCTCGGGGCCAACCTGGGGGGGTGGGGGTGCCAGAGGGTGCTCGACTGAAGTAGAATGGGTGGTGGCCTTCTCAATGCAGGGTGAACCCCGAAAAGCAAAGATGGGCACAGCCATGCAGGCACCCCCAGCTAGGGAGGAGCCTTTTGGGGTTGATGTCCTGTACATAGGTATAGATTTTTGTAACTGAACAGGAAGATGAAATAAAATTTTGGATATTCTGTTTTCAGCCAAATGATTTTGTCTCCCAGTTTTTTCATCTTCAGGAAGCTTGGGGAAAGCAACAGAAAAGTCCAGCAAAGACAAAGAAAAGAACAACTCAGACTTGGGGTCCAAAGAGGGGTCAGACAAGCGGAAGCGCAGCCGGGTCACTGACAAAGTCCTGACCGCCAACAGCAACCCCTCCAGCCCCAGTGCAGCCAAGCGGCGCCGGACGTAGACACTCGCAGCAGGCGGGTGCTGTGGTCTCCAGGCGGTCAGCGGGTCAAATGCCACCAGCCCTGCTGCCTGCCCTCGGGTGCCAGAGGCTCCTGAGGTGTCACTCAGACCATCTGGGCTCAGATGGCCCCCAACTCCCAGGACGGGTCCTGCTCAGATGCTGAGACCGGGGATGTGTGAGCCCAGGCCGCGTCCTCTCTGGACACTCGTGGGTTCCATCGCATTGGCTCAGCGACACCTGGGGCCAAGCGTTGGCATGGGCCTGAGGACCAGGCTGCATGGGCAGAGAGCGGGCACAGCAAGCAATAAAACATGGACTGCCTCTCTGCTCTGAGAGGCCCGGGTCTTCCCGTTTGTCCGTCTGTCCACCAGTCAAAGGCTCGCTCTCAACTGACTGCAGCCTCAGGGAAGCGTCAGGCCACAGGCGCCGGTCCTTCCACCACCAGGGAGACTGAGAACTGGGTACTTTGCGTCATTCACCTGTACTGTAATGATGTATATAATTTGGTTGGTATTTCACTATTTAATTTTTAAGAAGCCTATTTTACTAGGGTTTTATATGAAAAAAGTACTGCAGAAGTTGAACTTGTGTTGTATTTTTTCCTGAGATGTTTTGTTTTAATGTAACAGACTACTGAGATACTTTTCACTCAGTTTTTATATGCCAGATACAGAGAATTTGTAGCGGTTATTTTTGTATTCTCGAGTCACTGCACTGGCAAACAGACCAAATGAATGAGCAGAGGGAGGCAGGCTGAGGGAGGATGCAGCCTGGGCACCAGGCTGACCCAGACACACTTTTGACTGAGGGACATTAAAGCACAAAAAAGCAACTGGAGTTGTGTGATTGTGATACCAAAGTTAACTTTTCTTATAGTAGGAGGTTGTCTTTTTCAAGATTTATAATTGAAGCTAGGCTTTGATGTACTTGGATCACTTGATACAATGAATATACAAACTAGTAACAGGTCTAGAGTGGCTACTTTGTTGCATGTGAGCATCCCTTCAAATAAAAAACGTCAAGAGAGGTACCCAGTCGGAGTGGTGCCTGGTGGGAGTAGTGCTTGCTCCCCACCAGCATGCTAACTGGGGCGGAGCTCAGGCCCCCCAAGTGAGAGAGGAGGTGCTCACCCTCATCCTGACAAACCACGAGGACACTGGTGCCACCCATCCCCCCAACATCAGCCACAGGCGGTTGGAAATCCCTGAGCCCATGGGGCTCCGTGGGCTGAGCGGTGGCCTGGTGGGGGTTGGAGGCTGGCACCTGCTGCCCCAGTAGGGCCCGCAGTGCCTAGCACGTAGTGTCTCGTGTCAGGTCTAGTGACCCTGAGCAGCCCTGGCCTTCCATCCTGACTGCCCCGTACAGGAAGCTGAAGCAGAAGCTTACACCCCACAGTCAGACCTGGTGCCTAAGGGCCCCGTGGCATGAGATTCTAGGAGAAGGTCACACTTTCAGAGGGGCCTCCTACCACAGGGAAGGGCATCTAGACGGCACCCTGGTGCAGTCGAGTGTGGCTGGCACTTGTAAAGCAGAAGCTGGGCCCCATCTGAGAACAAGTCATGTGTGTGGCAGGAGGCGGTGTGGGAGGCTGTGCTCTGAGTGTCCTCCAGTGCATGCTTATCTGTTTTCTGGTAGAGGTGGGGGAGCCTGCCCACCCACCCAAGTGCTCTCAGAGCACCCCAGCACACAGCAGTGCCTCATCAGAGGGCCCCATCCCTCCAGAAGTCACAGCCAACTGCAAGTCAGGTAAGGAGAAATCCAGGCCTGTGGCCACAGTCTGCAATAGGCCAGCCCTGCACAATGCCTGATAGCCTGCCTATCTGTTGTCTGCTCCTTGGGACACCTACCCTGGCCATCAGTGGCAGAAGCTTTGCAGAAATGCCCAGAACTCCACACTTTTGGGGGAGTCACCACTGTCCTAGAAGGTTGTCCAGGCGAGATGGTACCCAGAGAGGGAATGGAGGTTGGTAAGCCTGCAAGGAGTTCACACACCAGCATGAAGAAGGGTCTTCAGCCGTGCCCATGGCCAAGACTGGCAGGTTCTGTCCAGCTCTGAGCTGTCCCCAGATGCACAGCTCAAGGACTGTCACATCCTTGGGCATATCAACCTGAGGCCTGGCAGCCTGCAGAATTGAGCAGGGCCTCAGTCTCTGTTGACCAGCCCTGAGGGTGACCCCAGGTCATTCCTGCCTCCAGGTGTCTGGGTCTTTACCTGGTGCCTCCAAGTCAGTGATGGCAGCACCTGTGCTGTCTTAACAACCATTACCTGCAGCAAAGAGGACAGCAGGTCAGGCCCACAAGGACACTGCACTATGGGACTGTCAGAACTGGAGAGAGACTCCTAATGGCCTTGAAAAGGCAGACCACCTGGGTGTGAACCTTTGGAGGGGACATGGGGATCTCCATTCCTATTGTCCAGCAAGAGGAGTTCTGCTGTCCACCTGAAGAATCCTGAAAGCAAGTCACTCCTCAGAGGACATCTGATGAAAGTGCTGCCCTAGCCCACACCTGGGGGACACCCGGGGGTCTCCTAAGGGAGGCATCCTGGGGGACAACTTGGGGGTATTCTCCTAGGGGCACACTTGTGGAGGGACATCTGCTACAGACAAGCTCCAGGGGGGGCCACCCTTCAAGGGGACATCCTCCCTTAGGTCATCCTTGGGAGGATCATGGTGGAGAGAGGTGCCCTGCAGGGGAGCGTGTTCGGAGGGGAAGGGACGTTCTAGGGGTGCTCTGGGGGACCTCCTCAGGGGGCGGGCTTCCTGTCTACGTTTTTCTCAGAACATGGGGGCGGGGCAGTGGTTCTGGTCCTCCAGGGTGGAGGAGGCCATTCTCCAGGGGAAAGGGGACCTGGGAGCATTCTGAGAGGGTACCCTGGGGAGCACCCCCCCAAGGGTCCTCTCCAGGGAGAAATCCATACCTACGTGGGCATGGAGGGGAGCAACCTCGGGGGAGAGGAGAGCGTCCTCCGGAGAGGCTTTCTCGGTGTGGGGGGGACAGGCCTCCTCCAGAGGGACATCCTTGGAGGGTACATCCTGAGGACGGTCCTCCTCAGGACTGGGCGGGCCGAGATGACAGCCCCGGGCCCGCCTCCGGCCCGCCCCCCGGCCCGCCTCCGGCCCGCCCCCGCGCTTCCTCCCTATTTCATTTTCGCTTCCGCCCGAGCGGGTCCCGCCGCCACCTGAGCATGGAGGACCCGGACTGCGACTCGACCTGGGAAGAGGATGAGGAGGAGGACGGCGAGGGCCCGCGGGCGGAGGCCGGCGAGGATGGCGAGACCGGCGCTCCGGGAAACGCGGAGGCCGAGGAGGACGCGCGGCCCAGCGCGCTCCAGGTGCCGCCCCCGCGCCCTGGGAACCCGGCGCCCCTGGGGAGGCCGCGGCGGCAAAGGGGGCAAAGTCCTGATGCTGGCAAGCCGTTCCCCGCCCCGCCGCGGGGCCAGGTGTGCAGGCACCTCCCAGAGACCCGGCTTGGGGCCCGGCTCCCCATCTCCAGCGGTTGCCCCCTTCCCGCCCTGTCCTCCTGCTACTCGCGTCCTGGTCCCCAGGACACGCTGAGGTCCTCCCCGACCCTCTCCCCCGCTCGCTCCGCCACCAGGGCACCTTGCAGGGAATCCAGGGCCACCCTCAGACCCTTGTCCCCAGGGCCAGATCCACGTGGTAACACTTCCTCCAGAGGATGGCCTCTGCACATCCTTGACTCCCCTGTCACATCCCAGCCTCAGGCCCTTGGCTCTGTCCTCTAGACAGACCCAGCCCTCAGCTCTGGCCTTCTTCACCGCCTCTCTCCTGGAGCTGCTGCCTCCACCCTTCCCCAGGCCCCAGAGCCCCCAGCCTGCCCCACCCGGTTGACCCTGATTAGGTGCAGCACCTACCCGCTCTGACCGGGGCTCACCTCATGTCGTCTGGAGGTGGCCTTGGAGGCTACATGTGTGTGGCTTGCCTGAGCCAGAGCAGCTGGCGTGCCCACCGGCTCCTCGTTGTCACCACTGGTTACTTGTCATAACCATGGTTATTCAACATTACCGGCAGTTACTTGCTGGTACTCACTGGGTGTCACAATCCCTGAGTGGATGCCATTGCTCCAGCTGGGGTTCCGGGTGAGAGGGAGGGCTCCAAGTGATAGTTGTCACCACGTGTCCCCCTCCCTCTGGGACCAGGGTATCTTGGCACCATTTCTAGGGAAGCTTGAGTTTCAGGCTTAGTGGTCTCAGTGATGGATTATCAGTGCTGCAGATGAGCACTCTGGTGTTCAAGTTTCTCTCTGGGTCTTGGAGTGGTCGGTCAGCAAGAGGAACCCCAAGGGGCTCCTGGGCCTGCTGAGAAGGCCGGCGACCTGGGCACATTTCCAGTGTTTCAGGCGGGCATGAGTTCCTAGGGTAGGTAGGCTGGGCAGTGGTCAGGGTCACAGGGCAGGAATCCACCTCTTCCCCCAAGCAGATGCCCCTAAGCCGGACATGGTGCAGCTTAGATGGGAGGACGCCATCCTCACTGTAGCTCCATGGGCCACACTCCTAAAGCAATGCTTCGGCACGTGGACCTTCCTGTGAGATGCCCATGGTCCTCTGACCTCTTTCCTGTCCCTCTGCTGTGGCTTCTCTCCTTCTACAGAGTCCCAATCTCCTCTCCAGTCCCCCATGGGTCCTTCCTGGCTGCCCCACACTGGGTCCCGGTATAGCTTTTTGGTGCTTCCTCCTGGACGCTCATTTGTGCACCTATGGCACTGGCCCTGCTCTGAGCTGTGCACATGACCAGCATTGGTCAGGGCCTGCCCTCTGGACCAACCCAGGGAGGCTGAGAAATGGATGCTGATGGGGGGGGGGGGGGGTGCAGTTTCTGCTGAGTTCCATTTCCACCCACTGTCCATTGACCTAACTGGCGTCTGGCTGAGAAACCCCTTTCAGAAGCATCTGGGGCTCTTGGTGGCAAGGCCATTGCCTTGGGTATACAGCCCCTTAGGTGTCAGCTTAGAGCGCAGGGCAAGGAGGAAGTGTTGGGGGA